TTTAATTTGTCAAAAAGTATTTTATATTATCAGTTAGAAACTACCAATTTAAGTATAATATTTGTCTTAATATTTTTTTATTCTATTCCGTTGCCTTCGCAATTTACCAGAAACCCTGTATATTTTTACATTTGGACCTGTACAAGAAAACTGAGAATATCGCATAAGATATAATGATGAACTCCATCAACTGATGGAAGGTGACACAATAATCAAGCACATAAAAAAGCAACGCTTAAAGTGGGCAGGATACGTTGTGCGGATGCCAAAAGAAAGAACTGCAGCCAAAATGACAGTGTTTGACAAGATCTGAGACATATGAATGTCATCAACTGGAAGATAGAAGCTAAAAATAGAGAAAAATGTAGGAATTGTCTTAAAACAAGCTTAAGTCCTACATGGACTGTACAGCTATGGACGATAATGATGATATGTACTTTTCACCCATGGCTTTCCAAAATTATGTTATTATTACCAACTAACACTTTCATAAGATCTGAGAAATATGAATGGACTTAGCAACGTAATAAATTCTTAGTTGGCAGAAATATTGTGCCTTGCTTTAACAATATTTATTAATATACACAAACAATGTGTCCAGCGAATGATTTTCCTATCCCCATCTGCTCCTAATATTCTGGTGAACCAATTTGACTTCAGTTAATTGCTATTAGAAATATTTATTATTTAATTTTTACAAAGAAATTCCAAGTTATCTTAGGGATTTTAAAAGAATGTAGGTTTGGCAAAATACAACCTTCTTAAGTTATTAGAAATTTTTAGCCTTGGACTACCTATATCCAAGTGATGCTTTTTTAAGTATTAGATTTACAACTCAAACTTCGTACTCCTAACACGTTATTTTATTTTATATGCTATAATATTTGATATTGTTATTGTACCCGTGATACTTCTAAAACAAGAAAAAGGGTGTTGGTGTGGGAATGTATTTAGGTAGGTAAGAAGGAGAGGTTGTGTTTTATTTGTTATTTATTTTAAGTGTTAATGTATATTTCTAAAATTGTATAAATTTTTAAAAAAATTGTTTTTCATTTTAGACCTCACGGGAGATCATCACTTTGGAAAATCCTCGTTCTAGTCATTGTCCTGTCATTAGACCGGGGCCAGCATTGGGTTGTAATTTTTGTTGGAATACAATCGATGGACATGGTAGAATTTTGCGGCGCAAAACTAAATACCACTGTCCCGAATGCCAAACAAATTTGTGTATTGTGCCATGCTTTCAGGAATACCATGAAAGAATGAATAATGAAGCAGCTTCAACCTCAAATACGTCAAGTAATGATAATAGTAAAAACTTTTCTAGTACAACTGGAAGCGGTAGCAGTGTAACGCGACATTATACCAAAACAGAGTCAATCTAAATTGGTTCCAAAATTTTTTTGTAAGTTTTCTAAAGTGCTAACAAAGCACTATTGAAAACTTTTACTTTGGTAGTGGATTTAAAAAAATTTATATTTTAAAAATATAAAACAATTTAATCCACATATATTTATTGTTATTGTAAGCTCAGGTACATGCTATGTACACTTGTGAGTAATTTATATATTATATATATATACATATATACAATATATGTACATTGTATGTATGTATAACTTTGTTTGTAATTTTTTTGTAATGAGCTCAATGGTTTCCTATATTCGTTTTATACATAAAAATACGAATTTAGTGCAGATATTTAAAGTTTGCCATGGAAAGCAAAGCTTATTTAGAATTAAAAAGTGAATACGATTGAAAAGCAGTCAATACGACTGTTAACAAATTTGTACAAAATTTAGTATATTTATATATTGATTATATCTTGGAAATTGTTCTTTATACTGAAAAGATAAAGTAACATTTATTTGTGTATATTATTTAAAATTAATTATTAACTAATTTTGCTATAAAGGTATGGGTTTATGATTAGCACAACAATAATTTAAATGAAAGTTAAAAAACTTTTCTTATACAATTAAAAAAAAAAATTGATTCTATAAGCGAATTAAAGCGTTAAATAGAATAAAACTTATTAATATCAAAAAAAAATATATTAAATAGTGTAAACTTTTCAAAATTAACTATATTTTTGTACAATGATTGGAATTAATTCATAGGCACTGTCACCTGAAATACGATTTTTATTATTTTATTATAATAATTGTAATTTAACAATAATAACTAAATTATTGACGTATTGTTGTGCTATATTGTACCCACTTTCTTTTAAACACATATTTTTTTAAAAGTGAACTAACTATATATTTATTTTAATTTGTATATTTTATAGTAAATATAAAGTGATTTTTATATTATTATTGTTAAAAATACTTACAAATTAATAATTTGCTAAAGAAAATAAAATTTTTAATTAGAAGCTAACTTTTTCCTCACTACTATGTACATGCTTAGTGGTGTTGGATGAAGTGAAAACTTGCTAACCTCGAAAGTAATTTTCTTTAAATATTTTTTAATATGTAAATATTTTTATAATTATTATTTAAAGCAGTTTAAATGTCTCAAACAAAATTTTTTATGCCTTATCTGTTATTATTTAATAATATATATAATTACGTATACACGTATATATATGATTCTCTTTACATATATATGTGTTTATTTCTGTTTTGAAAAAACTTTAGTGTAAGAATTTTTAACCTTTTTTGTGTAAAATTTAGTTTATTAAATTTTATGTGCACGGAATATGGTACTTAAATGAACTATTTGATTATAATTTAGTATTTATTTGCAAGTTTAGTATACCATATTTTTAATATTAAACAAAATTTAAAAGGTCATTGTACAGGTTTATGTATATATTTGGACACATTTACTTGATATAATTTCTATAGGTATATTACAATTCAATTCTCTAAGAGAAATGAAATTGTGACCATACGACCTATGTTATCAGTTAACTAAGAAATTTGTTAACAAAAAGCAAATAGAAATATATAAATTTTAAAATTCCTTGTAAAATTGTGCTTCTATCTCGTATTATTATGCCCTTTGATATGATCTGTTTTTCTATTGAATTATCTAACGCACATTGTTAACTGTGCGTTTCCATTGTTGATTTATTAAATTGGATCCTTTCGATGATATCTTTAAGATTCCATTTTGCTGTCAATTATTTTCAATGCTAGCATTTTCCTGTGTCTGCCCAGCTTTATCTTCCAGAAAAAAACAGTTTTTTAGAGAAGTACCAACAGTAAGGTCGAAAAATCTGTTATAATACCTAAATACAATGAGGTGGATTTAGTCTTTTTTTATCTCCTAAGGTTTCTTACGGGGAATGTGATAGTAAGTTGGCGAAAAATCGCTAATAATTGTCTACAGAAAGATATCTCCTAAGCTACCACTGCAACTAACCAATTATTTCAAGTTATTCATTCCATTAACACAAACTTAAATTCAAGTCAGTTAGGCATTCTAGATTCTAGATAACATCACTTCCAACAAAAATGGTAGAATTATTTGAGCTAGAACTTTTTTTATTGTCAACTATATATATGAAACTCTTATACATTTTAACACCTTTAATACTAGAAATTTATCAGTGTTCAACAAATGTAATTGAGTATAATCTATGGGCTGGTATTAGTTCTGACCATTAAAAGAACCGTAAAACTGACTATTAAACAAATAATATTGTAATAAATTCTAACATGGAGTATACTACTTTCAATGAGCTAAAATCAAAAATATAACTTCCCATATATAGTATCATCTTAACTTATCTGATATTTAAATTTGTACTGAAGTGTAATGAGTTCTATCATACTAATATACTTTTACACCAGTTTCTGCCTGCATTCCAATATTTACATCCTGTACATAGGGTTATAGTTTTATTCCGAAATCATATCATATGGAAGATAGTATGAATTTAATACTCATCATAAAAATATTAGAGAATTAAAATATAAAAGTAGTTGGTACTGGAGAACCTTAAATTTTCTAAAAAGTAGCCAGGGGGTCTTTAATGGGAAATATCAAATTATTAATTATAATTAAATAATATAATTTTGTTTTCTAAAAAAATGTTTTCAAATATGCCTTATTAAACTATTTCATATAATAAAAATAAAACAAATTTTGTTTTTATTATTTTATCTTTAAATAATAGATAACTTTTTTTTACATGTTACGTACATTTGTTTTCAATATTGGTTAAATATTATTTTGCTAAAAATAATTTTTTTTAATTTTAAATAATTATTTGTATTAATTTATTTTTATTATTTTATTTGCTAATTGATATAAAAAAAATTTTGAAATTATTTTAACCTAAAGGATATGTTTTTAATGTATTTGGACCTATCTATCGAGACTTTGTTCAACGAATACTCAAACCACTTCAGAAATTCATAGCCAGACTTTGAACTATTGATCCAATAAGAATTTTAGAAAAAGAAGTTAAAATATGCTAATACTTGCAAATAATACTTTTTAAACTTTTTTATTTAAAAGAAATAATCAATGCCATATAATTAGCAAAAAAAGAATTTATTCTTTAATTAAAAAAACTAATTAAAAATTTTATTATTGTTATTGTAGTGTAAAGCTGTATTTATAAAAGCTGCTAAAGTACATAAATATATATATGTTTTCTTGATTTCTATTGTAAAAACATATATATGTATATGTATGTTTGCACTAATATAAATGATGAAACAAAATATATTCATGTAAAATAAAATTGTGTATGTGTGTATAATAATTATAGTAAAAACAAATATCGAACTAAAATAATTTCTACCTTAAATTTTAATGTGAATTGTTTTAAATTTTATTCAGCTACTTTTATCTTAAAGTACCTGAGAACAAAAGTGTTTAAACTTTAAAAATTATTAATATAAATATGATTAAATCTGAATTTAAGATTTTAACTAAATCAAACAAACTATAATTTCGTATAAATGTAATTGTTGTGCATACGTCCTAAAAACGTAGAGAAAAATAAACAAATTGAAGGTCAAACCAAATATTGTTTATTAATTTCTTTTATTTAATAACTTTCATTTGGTTTATTATACAATTCGTTTTTAAATTGAACAAAATATAACAAATCTGTTTTAATTCACAAGATTTCATTTACTTTTTATCTATTTTCTTTGTGTCAACAATTTCCGCTGGTGGATTGGCGTTACGGAAATTTGGAAATTGCTCCCATGGTGCAGATAAATCAAATTTACGGAACTCTTGCGCTAACTCCAATGGCTCACAAACGACACGTTTCTTCTCATCATCATAGCGTAACTGAAAAAAGAAAAAAATTAAATAACATCTCTTCATAAAAATTAATTCAAAAATAGATTAAATATAAAATTATTTATTCATATCCTTTTATATATATACATTTTAGAAAAATAACTGTAACGTTTTGGAAAGTATTTTGCAAGTAGCCCCTCCGTTAAAGAATATAAAAGTAATAGGAGACTACCGCTTCGCAATTTTAACGTTAATGATTAAACAACTAGTTAACAATACCAATCATTTACATATTATTAGAAGAGTCCCAGGAACAAACTGTAACTTTTCGGAGCCTCTTGTGTATTTCGATAACCAAATGTTACTGCCAAATAATACTCTCTCGCATTACCATCACCATTACCTATCCACATCCCAACCCATGTATATGCCTTTGTAATTTCTTTCATGTTATCTGCTTTAAACATTCTTGAAGGCCTTAACAAAAACAACTTTAGAAGAGACAATGGTACACCATGGAGCTGCTTGCTATATTACCACATTAGAACTGGCGGGGCCTTAGCGAAACCAATTGAAAATAGTTATAATTCTAATTGTTGTACCCTGAGCAGATCTATTCATAGCGAGGAATATAAAGGGAATCACAAAGTTAGATATACTGGTTAAAATATGTATTAGGGACGTGATAAGTGAAAAGAAGAAGTGTTATTTAGGATTAGGAACGGGTAAGAATGGATTTGCTAGTTTCTAAGTGGTCACATTGCTTTTCGGTGAATATATAACATAACACTCATAGCAGTAGTTTAAGATATTAATCAGAAACGTACTGCATCAAGCATTTTTAGTCTCAGTCTACTTTCATCCAATTACATCCCTTTCTATGTACGTCTTTTGAACTCTTTTTATGTTTTCTGCTATATATTTATATACATATATATATATATATATATATATTAACACGTGCAGAATATATGGTCTATGATCTAAACCGAAATAACTGGTAAACATAAATAAACTATAGTTTTAGTTCGAAATTACCAAATAAAATTAAAGTTTTTATTTACATTTTTTTTATATAAAATTAATATAAAACAAATACTTCTAAACAACTAACTTGGAGATTAATATTTATTTAGTTAATTTAGTCTTAGCAAAATCATTTGATAGATGAAACTGACGTAGATAGGTTTTTACGGCTCGATCGGGTTGATTTCAATTATATCTTCCACTTTTCCTCCTACCCTTACTCACATCTCAACCTATGTATTCGTCTTGTAATTCTTACATGTTATCTGCTTTTCAGATCCCGGCGGGCTACAACAACAATAACAACACAGCTCGAACTAATCTAAACTCAAAGTGACATTGCTCAAAATTCCATAAACGAGATCGTAATAAAAAAATTTAAAAAGTTAAATTAAATGTCTAAACTAAGGAAAACAATTGTAATCAGAAAAAGGGTTACAGGTAGCTGAATGGTAGTCAACTAGATTTTCAATAATATAATATATATTGTATTTTTAAAAAAGTAATAACTTACCTCGACATAACCGGATAATGGAAAATCTCGGCGTTGTGGATGACCCTCGAAGCCATAATCGGTAAGTATGCGTCGCAAATCGGGATGATTAGCAAAGAACACCCCATACATATCCCATATCTCACGTTCATACCAATTTGCAGCTTTATATACATCACAGACGGAGTCCAATGGTGTCAATTCATCAGTATAAGTTTTAACACGAATACGTGAATTGTAACGCAAAGATAATATATTATAAATAATCTCGAAACGGTATTTTCTGCAGGGTACATCCATGCCAGCAATGTCAACTAAATTGCTAAACTGTGCATTATGATGATCTTTTAGAAACTGTAGTACTGGCACTACACCTTCAGGTGCTATCAACACTTCAAGTTCATCACCCGATGTTAATTGTACTTTTTGTACATACTTTGGTAAACACTCAGCAACATATTTACCAAAATCGGTCAAATGAGTACGTGTGGCTTCATTAGGTTTTCTTACAGTTGCTATTATGTTAAAATATTACTATTAAAATTATTTATTAAATACATTTAAGTACATTTTAATACATACGCCTATCGTCGACTTTTTTAGGTTCTGGAGCTGCGTTGCTATATAAACGTAAATTGGTAACAATAACTGCACCTAAAACATCATAATGAGAGATATGGTTTATATGTAGTATATAGTGGTTTTACCATTCCGACGTGAAAGTCCAGTTGCTAACTTGAAGCCTAGATTTTTAATTAACCCAGCCATTTTCGTTACTAGATTAATATAAAAATCAAAATTTATTTCTTACGTATTATTTGACAGTTTATGTAATATTCATATTGTGAGTTACCAGATCGTTTTTTTTTCAATATATGACAATACAAGCAAGTTGGACTAAATGAATTTCAATGTGTATAATATAAGATATTGGAACAAAATGCTACACGGTACAATGCTGTCTTTATCTCAATTGGAACATAATAATAATTAATAAATAGCAGAGGCATAGAATTAAGAACTAATGATTTAATTTAACAATTTTATAAAGTGTTATAATTGTTTTGTATATTATTTTCACAAGAAAAACAATCAAAGAAATAATTACCAAACATATACCGTCTAATTCATAAAAAGTTATAAAAGGTTGATCACATTGTTTATCAACAATGTTTTCATAAATGTTATAGAACAGTATTATAAACCATTTATAAAACTCTATTCATAAACGTTTTATAAAGTTAAAATGCTTTTATAAAATATCAAAATTTGTAATAGGCTGAAGCTTCTATAACAGCATTTTAAGCAAAATTTGCCGCCATTCAAAAATATATAAACAACGGGAAGATCCGCTTTGTTGCATGATGAAGAATTTCGCTTGATAATAAAGGCGTAGGAGTTTCTACAAGCTACAACTTTTAGTGGCTTTGCGATATTAGAGTCGTAGAGAAGTAACTAATATTTTCCAAATAATATCTCACACTAAAAGCTCTTAATATAAAAGGTACAAAGCGATAAAGTACCTGTTTTCATTTTCTTTCTTTCGTTGATTTGTTTTCTGACAATCCTACATAGCATACTTCGTCCTCTGCGTCATTTGAAATGGTATTTGGAGTTTGAGTATATTTTCATTTCTATCGAAATCAAATAAATTGTAATCAACCACAAACTCGTCAACTAGATATGTCATCACTTCCCAATGCTTCACCAGGACAAAGTGGTAAGAGCTGGTGTCTCTATATAGATTTTTCTTTTTTGGTGTTTATTTTTATTATTG